GCAGGACGGGGGGGAGGAAAAACGAGTGCCGAAAAGGCAGCAGCCATGGCTGCTGTTACTTGGGGTTATGGCTTCTCCCCAGGAGCAGCCAGCCCCGCTGCCTCTCCCAACCTGTTAAGTTGCAACTGAAGAAGGCTCAACCAAAACACTCAGTGATATTAAAAAAAAACCCCAAACCCCAGAAAAGTCCTTTAAGTGCAGGCACCTCTGCTGCAAAACCAGCTGCCAGGCTGCTGGCCCTGTGGAAAGCCGCCTGCCACAGCAGAGCCGTGTCAGGAGATGTCTGTTCCTCAGTCTTTGCAAGAAAAAAAAGACGTCGACTGGGCATTTTCGCTCACTTTTTATTCACAGCAGAAGTTATGAGGAAGTGGGGAAAAAAAGCAATGTCCTGGCTGAGCCTGCACTAAGAAGCAAGCTGAGGGCTGTAATCCCCAAATCGTATTAGCCAAACGCAGAAAGCCAAGAGACTGTAAACCAAGAATAACCTCTTAAACTTGCTGCAGCTGGCTTTGTGGGCAAAAAAGAAACAAATAAATAGGCAAGGTGCATTGAAAGGACAACTACCTGAAAGAAGGTTGTCGCGAGGTGGGTGTCGGTCTCTTCTCCTCAGGTTGTGCCGGGGGAGGCTTAGATTGGAGATGGGGAAAAATTTCTTCACCGAAAGGATTCTCAAGCATTGGAACAGGCTGCCCAGGGAAGTGGTTGAGTCACCATCCCTGGAGGTATTGAAAAGACCTGTAGATGTGGTGCTGCGGGACATGGTGTAGTGGTGGACTTGGCGGTGTTAGGTTGGCGGTTGGACTCGATGACCTTAAGCGTCTTTTCCAACCTCAGCAATTCTATGATTCTATGAAAGCGCATCGTGAAGGCAGGGTCTCATCAAGGGAAGCAAAGGGAGCACAGGGGGCTTCCCCTGCACCCCCTGTGCATTGGAAGCAGGGCTGTCCTGCTGGGGAAGGTGAAGCTGCTCCATTTCCAGGTGTGTGACAAGGAAAGGCAGATGCCCACTGGCAGTGCAGGCAAGTGCAAATCAGAGGAATATATGGTAATTGTCCATCTGCTTCTCTTCCCAAGAGCTTGGGAAGGCATGTTTTTTGTGAGTTAGTTTTTGTATAAGTTTCTGGGTGAACCATTGGGGTACCTCCCCCCCTTTTTTTTTTCACGTGGCTCTTTCCAACATGGAGATTAAACATTTAGATTCAAACTCAGGGCTTTGCTCAAAAGCTCATGGAAGACAACTGAAAGATTTAAGTCCCTCCATCCCCCATATGGGTTACGTTAAGTTAAAGTCTTTTTCACATCTGAATTTAAATATTTTCAGTCAGGTTTGAGTTTTGACCTTTTATGAGGTCGGCTCACCTTCCTCCTAGAGCCGATGATGGATGACCTTTGCCTAATGTATTCTTGACAGATGGTTGCAAACTGGTGTTACTCCACTAAATGCTGCAGAACTGTGTTTGTAAGTGCTGCAAATATTTTAAATGTCATTCTTATTTTTCCAATCAAGGAGAAGACCGGAGGGAACATTAGCACAGGGTCTTTATTATTAATACACACTTGTTTCCCTAAAACCTAAATCTATAGTTAGATTTATCTCAAATTATTTGTTTAAAGATTAATACAGGGTAACAAATACTTTACATAAAGCATTTCCATTATTGTAAGTGAGAAAGAGCTGATCTATTACGGCCAGTCTTGTGCATTCTTTACACCAAGGTACTTCCCCTCCTTCCTCCAGGTGGTCTATGTAACAGCCTCTTTGCCATACTGTGTTCTCATCATATACCTCATCAGAGGATTAACACTTCATGGAGCTGTGAACGGGCTCGTCTACATGTTCACGCCAAAGGTACAGAAAAATCGTACTGAATTTTTTGCAAAATGTTATTAGTTACCAAGTGTGTAGGTTTTTAAAAGGTGGCAATACTCCTTTTCCCTATATTGAATTTTTGCAGCAGTAGCTCAGGTGAGGCAGCTGGACACCCCAGCTGGGAGCAGCTGGAGGCTGTTCTGCCACGGTGCCCGTAAGCTGCTTGCTTTCCCCTGCAGAAAAAGACCTGCCCATGAACATAACCCGTAGTGTATTACTTCCAGACTGAGCAATAACCCTGCCCAAAACCCACCCCTGAGCTAAAACGGGTGCGCAAAGGGACCCGTCCCCGTCCCCGCAGGCTGGAAGGGACAAGTGCCGGCCATCTGTGCGCAGCTTCACACTCCCACTTTCCCCGTCCGGTTTTGCAGCTGGAGCAGCTGTCGAACCCCAAGACGTGGATCAGCGCCGCCACACAGATCTTCTTCTCTCTGGGCCTGGGCTTTGGCAGCCTCATCGCATTCGCCAGCTACAACGAGCCCAGCAACAACTGCGAGAGGCACGCCGTCATCGTCTCACTGATCAACAGCACCACGTCTATATTTGCCAGCATCGTGACTTTCTCCATCTACGGCTTCAAGGCGACATTTAACTACGAAAGCTGTATAAACAAGTAAGAAAGAGGCTGGTATTTCACTTGTTTTCCACGGCAAGCTGGTCTGGGGAAGGTAAGGGGGGTGGTAAATAAATAACAGCACATGGTACTGCCAGCGCTGCCCCAAGCCCAGCCCTAATACTGCTCTAATAAAGGTAACAGTGTGATTTAAAGCGACGAAGGCTGACATGAAAGGTCAAAGCTGGTGTGCCTTTTGACACCTGGGTGCTGCTTCCAGGCACGGGCCGAGTCAAGGATGAGTTTGCCTGGGCGAGACACAGAAGCACTTTCCCCTGCACCCCAGCACGTGCTTTGGGGGAGTGGGGGGGCTGATTAGTAAGATGCAATGATGCTCAGATCCCCCCCTTTAAGGCTAAGCCCTGTGCCAGGAGCTCAGCCTCCTTGGCAGTGATGCTCTGGAGGTGCCCAGCAGCCTGCAGGATTGTGCCCCGAGGCAGCAAGCTTGCATGCTGTCCCTGGCACAGGGCCCAGGGCAGTTACACTTTTACTCGTATTTTTACAGATTTCAATCTATCTGCTAACCAGAGAGGAAACGAAGCTGCTAGTCCCTGCTCCTTGCCAAAAGGCTCATTAAATTGGTGGGGTGTGGACGTGGGACTGGAGGGCAAAGGGGAAGAGATGCCAGCCAGCACTGGCCAGCACCCAAAATACTTGCCCACTCCCTCCCGGGCATCGGAGAGCGGCAGCCCGGGCGCAGGAGCTGCTCCCTCCGAAGCAGAGATGGCATCCGAACACCATGCTGGCTCCCACCTGGGCAGACTGGAGCCCTGGGGCTGGCAGAGCATCCCTGTGTGGGGGCCGATGGAGAAGGGGATGGGGTATAAAACCGGCATCAGTTTTATACTTTGGCCTGAAAGACATTGAATTCCAATAATCTTTCCCAGGGTGATCCTGCTGCTGATGAACGCTTTCGACCTGGAGGAAGGCTCTTTAACAGCAGACAACCTCAATGAGATGAAAGACTACCTCATGGCCACCCACCCGCAAGAATACACACAATTATTGCCTCAGCTTAAAAACTGCAGCTTGGAAGCTGAACTAGATACGGTGAGTTGCCGCTTTGTGCTGGTGCCTGGGCTTCACTCATGCTTTTCCTCCCGCCGAGCCCGAGCAGCCCCTGAGCCCCACTCCGGCACATCCGCACCCCCAGGAGCTGCCTGGCTGGGGGCTGCGGTGGGGCTCATTTCTGCACCTTGGGATGGCGGGGGGGAGGCACACTGGCTCAGCCCAGCAAGACGCTTGCTTGGCTCGTTAGCAACTGAGCCGGGTGGTGATGCGGCTGGACTGCTGGCTCCAGCTGTGGGACAGGGCAGGTCGCAAAGGTATGGGGCAAATGTTTTCGCTACGAGCGGGACTGTGCCAGTTTCTATCCAGTTTGAATACGTCGGTGACGATCTCGTCTGCCTCTGCTGTGCAGAACCGCCACCACGGGTGTGTTTTGTCATTGTGGAGGATCAGTCTCATATGTCCCTATTCTTTTGTCCCTTATCGAGCTGAGGAGCTGCCCGTAACTCACTTCTTCCCCCCTTCTTGCCGGCAGGCTGTCCAGGGGACGGGACTGGCATTTATAGTCTATTCTGAAGCAATCAAAAACATGGAGGTGCCCCAGCTGTACTCTGTGCTCTACTTTGTCATGCTGCTGATGCTGGGCATCGGCAGCATGCTGGGAAACACCGCCGCTATCCTCACGCCGCTGACCGACAGCAGGGTCATTGCTGCGCATTTCCCCAAGGAGGTGATCTCAGGTAAGCACCTGCCATGAGCAGCATAGGCCGTGCAGGGAGAGAGTACGTGTGCAAAAGTTTTGGTGTCCCACAGCTGTTGAGGGTCCCTCTTTGACCTCAGGTGGAGGACAGAATATCAAATACGCTGCCGGAAGGGTTTGCCTGCCCTCGGGATATCCTGCCCAGCCTGTACAGCACTTTCCCTCGGAAGCTCTCAAAGCACTAGGGCAGTCGCGGCTGTGTATGTGCAGGCTTCCCAAGACACCCCAGCTCCTTCAGACTGGTGCCTACTGACCAGTGAAACTCAAAGAGCCAGGAGACATGTCAGGACACCTGCAGTGAGTGGCTCTTCAGTCACATCACTGTTATCCCAACTGCCAACCACCTGTCTTTGGCCAAGAGTGATATGCGCTCCCATTCGGGCGTGGAAATCAGTTGTCCCACCTTAAAACCTGTTTTAACTGGATGCCCAGCAGTAACAGCAGGTGCTGCACATGCACACGACAAGGCTATAGCTAAGACTCAGTTGTCTTTGCTGTGGTCATGTGCTGTGACTGTGCAGATCTAAGGAGCAGCAGTTTAAGGATATGCCAGCA